TATATATTGTTTTCCCATATTGCAGCCTTTGCAATTTGAAAAAAAAAAATCATCCTACTCCATTGTGATGTCAATTCATTAAAAAGAAAAATAATAATAATAAAAGGCATTTGAAAATCTCAAGCGTGATACAGTGAGGTATTTGAGCCCTTCTGAATGCGTGCATGAAAAACGCCCACGTCCCGAAACTGGCATCATGGATTTAAAATTAACCTCATGGGAGCTGAGCGAGAGCGTTTCATCTGCGTCGGAATTTAGCAGCCGCAGACATGCACTGTATTTAATGAGCAAATATGTCACACAGGGCAAAGTTCAAGTCTTAAGAGGCTCGGATGGAAAATCCCCAAAGTGTCCTTTAGGGATTGGCCTTAAGTCTACAAAACTGCCTTAATAATATTTTCATGGGCTGAATATATTTAGGATGCATAGACGGAGCCAGACTTGAATCTCACATTCTCAACACTTTGTCACTCCCCTGCCCCTCCTTGCGTTGAGCACATGACTTTGGGACCAAGATATACAGCAGAGTGTTGTCATAGGGACGGGGGCTTTGAACATGAATATAATTACATCAACCTGATTAACATTTTTTTTTTCAATAACACTTTTAATAACGTCCACATTAAGAAGAACTTCTCAGTTTTCCTTTCTGCACATTTTGTAAATGTGTTAGCCATATAACAATCATTAACTGATTCATTTCAAAGCTTTAGCCTGAAGTCATGGGAAGTACTTGAATAGATTTTCAGGCGTCTGTGCCTGAGTATTTATTCATCTGTACTTTACTCCCTACCTTTGAAACAGATCTGTACTTTCTACTCCTTACTCAGTCAAAATTGGCTGTTTCCCTTTTTCATCCTCAGTGGATGATGACAAAATGTCAAAGAAAAGATGTAAATGGAGAGAGGTGATGTCAACTGCGGTTGAGATCTTGGTTGATGCTGATTTGACATCTAGGGTCTTATATGGTGGAAAAAAAAAAGAACATGAACCAGTGAGCATTGACAAAACCGATGCAGAAGATATGGAGAAGCAAGATATTCCCTGTCACTCCGAAGTTACAGGAGAGAGTATTTTGCGCGCATGGGTTCATTTTTCTGTTTTGCCAAATAATCAAAACACATCTTTCCTCTTTTGTATTTCATTGACAGTGAACATGTATTTTTACGTTTGCCCACAAGTACCTTTAAGAGTCTCTACTTGTATTCACATTTAATTTAATATAAGAGTTGAATCACTACATCTGCTTTTACCAAAGTGCTTTTCTTTTGACAAGTATAAGTGATATCTATACACAAGTACTTTTTTTTGTGCCTGTGGTATCTGTATTAGAAAAAGAGAATTTCCCTTGCGGATGAGTGTCTGTCTGTCTAATCAATATGTACTTCTGTTTAAGTACAGGGTTTGAGTACTTTTAACCTCCTCTGCAGTCCAGCACAATGAGTCTTAAAGGTAACTTTGACAGGTGAATAATTTAGATTCGAGCAGATGCAGTAAAATACACTTGATTTGGACACACACGCACACACACACTACTTGCCGTGATGTTCCAGTGTGGGAGCACATCTTTCATCCAAGATGAATGCAGACCGTCCAAGGATAAGTATTTGGAATTTATATCGTCAACTTTTGAGTGGCAGGAGAAGGACACGACGTCGCCGTACTAAGCCCGAACCGATGCATCGAGTCGCCCTTTGACAGCGCGCAAGGATGTCCTGTGGGCTGCAACGTCGCGTCGGTGCACGCAGGAGGAGGAAGAAGTAGAGGAGGACGGGGGAGGTCTCCCGCTGCGTGTCTGCCCCCACCGTCACATCTGCAGAAAGAAATTGTGCAGGTCAGTCACGTGACACAACAAGTCGACACCGCTCCATGTATACAAACGCGTACTCTGATCCGATGCATGTGGAGGACATTTCCGTGTACAAAACACAAAAACATGAGCTTGTTGATTCTTGATTACAACCTGGATATCACATTCAAAATTTAAAATAAGTTCTTGATTTTGTCTCCCTTGTTTTATTACACACATTTTTTTACATGGATAGATTGAAGTTGTGTCTCTTCGCACAGTCCTGCTACTAAAACCCTTTTAGCCATCGAATTAAAAAAAAAAACGGCTACACGACTGCCTAAAAGACGCTATGAAGCTAATTGCTCTGACCATCAAGCCAGCCAAGTCGATCATCCTTCTATTTCATGCTCTGTCAATTTTTTTCAGCAGTTGCTTCTTGGAGCGTCACTCAAACCAATGCATCCTTGTGACTCATATAATCAGAAAAAAAGACATTTAATGTTATTATTTTTCTTTTTTAATTATGTAAAGTCTAATCTTGACCAGTTAGCATGGCAACTAGATTGGAGGCCTACTTTTGAGCAAAAACCCTGTCACTTGTAATCCTGTTACTGTAATTAGAGTCATTATAATGTTTTTTTCACAGCAACAGTTTATTAAATTTCTTTTTCAGTTGCCCGAGTATTTGTATCAGGGTTGCAACAAGCACTGTAAAAGTGCATTTTATTTTCACTGAAAAGCCTGACTTGTGAGTAGGACAGCCCAGCTGAGGCAGGGGTATACATGCCCTTGACTGGTTGCCAACCAAACGCGAGGCACATATAGACAACCATTCACACTTGCATTCACCCATACGGACGATTCGGTTTTCAGTTCACCTTACATGTGTGCATATGAACTGTGGGAGGAAACTGGACTCATCAACAGGCAAGTTTTCCATGTTAAAAAAAAAAAAAAAAAAGATTTTGTCAAACGTTTGTGGAATTTCCCAAACCTCGTTTGTGTTTTCGCCTTGCTTAGCGAGTTAAAATGCATATTGGATTAATTTTGTTGTCTGACATGGTCATTTGATGGGTTTTATGGTGAACTTGTCACTGATTACATCTCCTATGTAGGGTGGACCTGCTGGCTCAAACACTGGCCTCAATAACCCGCAGCCCCTCCCATCCCACAACACACACACACACACACACACACACACACACACACACACACACACACACACACACACACACAGTTCTGAAAGTGAATTTGGGACAAGAGGTCCTGCCAGTTCCTCATCCTCTCATCAGCTCTAAGCTTCAGACGTCATATGTGCAAGATATAGTTGAAAATTTTTGAAGTGGAAGGGAAGTGGCCTTTCATAAACATGTATCGCTCGGTGCTTGTGAGAAAGAGTTTTGTGCTTGAGATGGTTATGAAAGAACCCGTGTGTTTGGCTGTGCCCACTGTTGTCAGGGAGACCCACATTCCCCGGACTACTGTCTATGCTAATTGTTAAATTCCACCCACTCTCATGCTTCTGGCCCCTGACACAATCAAACAAGTATGGACACCCTCGTGTACTGTACTTCAGTGTGCTGTCTTTACTTCCTTCTCCACTGCATTGTGTTTTCCCATTTTTGTGCCTCTCACATTCTCAATTCTTTCTCGCCTTACTGTCCCCGAAGGTTACAAAACAGCTGTTTGGCTCACGCAGGTCACCACAAAGGGCCTTAAGAAGTTCTTTGCTGTGAAATGTTTGGAAACTTGGGCCAAGTCTCAGGGCGAGTCCAAGAGAAAGTACAACCCGAGTCCCTTTCATATACAACTTTTAATTCCTCATGACGAAAGGTAAACACTGTCAACTGATATTAAACACAACCAATGGATGATGCTAATTTATAGCTTTGTTTGGTCATTGTGGAAACTTGTTGGTGGACCGTACAGTGTTTTTGTTTTCTAAAATCTTCCTTGTCAACTGAAAAGCATGCTCTGTATTTCAGAAAAGCAAGTACGCCCCTCTCATTTCCACAAATATTTCATGGTCTCTTTTTTGGGGAAATCATTGGGAAAAAATGGCACTGCTGCAATGTGAAGGAGTCAGTGTACAGCTTGTATAACAATATAAATGTGCTGTCCCCTCAAAATAACAACACAGCCATCCGTTACCTAGCAACCACTGGCAACAAAAGTGAGTACACCCCTAAGTGAAAATGTCTGCTTGGTGACACTTTGTTACAATGTAAAGCAGTCAGTGTACAGCTTGGATAAAAGTATGAATTTACCATTCCCTCAAACTAACTCAACACACAGCCATGTCTCAACCACTGGCAACAAAATTGAGTACACCCTGAAGTGAAATTGTTCAAACTCGTCCCACTGATTTTTCCTCCCTGATGTCATGAGACTCATTAATTTTACAAGGTCTCAGGTTTAAATCATGAAAAAGTTTATGGTCTTCTCAAATTTGTTGCCACATTGTCGCAAAGGTTCGTTTGTTGAGTGTTTTCCCATGACAAGAAAAATACGAGCAGTGTGCTCACTTTTGTGAGATATTGCATCTCCAATATTTTACATGTTTTTTTCTTTCAATATAAACATCATTTAGAGATTTTTTGTCATTAGGTAGTGATGATATGCTCAATTCTTTACATTTAAGTGTTACAAATGGTATTCGAAGGGCAACATTTGTTTTTTCTCGCAAACAGATCAGTTCTAGAATAATGTGAAGAATTTCCTTGGCAGACAAGGTTATTTTTTCATTTTCAATTTGCAATTAAATCACTGCTGCATGTTTTATAAAAAAATAAGTCCAAAAGGCAAAAATAGCACCCTGAGACTTTGTTCAGTCTTTTCATTGTTTTACTGAGCTTAGTATGTTTTTTTTTCATTTATTGCTAGTGAGTATTCTTTTCCATTGGTATCTTTTGGGGGAGGTGCATTCTCATTTTCCAGGAGTGCCACATTTTGATCCTCGCGCTAGCAAGAGTTCTTGGGGTTTTCCCACATACTGATGCATTTGTCTCTCATCCCACACATGAATGATCACTTGTTAATTGAGTGATTTTAACCCTCCTATGAAACTTGGCCTTTGGGCGACGTGTATGAGTAAAACACCTGGCACGGCTCAGCATGTAACTTCCTGCCTCCTTTGGAAAATGACTCACGACTGGTGAAAGATGCCCAACAACACTCGGAGCAACACCAAACGTAGTTACTGACACTTGAACTGCACAGTTCAAAATATTTTGTATATTTTGTACACTGACTGTTGAGGAATGTTGTGTTGATGCTAAAGTTGCTATTGCTTGAGTGCAGTGCTTTTGCAAACTTTGCAAAACTCTAAAATGACACACAGAATTTATTGAAGAACACTGCACTTTGTATTATAATCTACAGATTTTTTTTTTTTTGCATGTAAATTTGTGCCATGTCATTTGTACCATTTGTAAGTTTAATGACTACAGTATTTCCATCTATCCATTTTCTGACTCCATTGTCCTTTTCAGATTTGCGAGTGAGCTGGAGCCTATCCCAATTGTCGTCAAGTGGCGCATACTCAGTGAGGCAGTTTGGAACTGAACCCCCGCTGCCTGCATGGAAATCAGACAAGGTAACCACTCCAGCATCATTTATCCCCCTCATGAATATTTATTATATAGTATAGCCGCATTTATGGCATGGGATCCGTTCCAAACCCACCTGCTAGAGATAGGTGAAAAACCAAGCATAGACCACATGAAAAAAAAAATAGGCAGGTTTAACCCTCTCGCGTCCTTTAAACAGGTTTAAACTCGCTCCAGTAGACTTTTAAAAATTTTCCTTAGCACCTATTCTCACTTTTGCTGTCAAATTATGTCACCTCACTTTGCGGAAATGGAAAGAAGACTCGCTTGCACAGTTCTCGAAAGGCAAAAAGCATGCCCGCTTCAAGTTATTTGTCACTTCCAGTTGAAGTTGACTGTGAAACCGACACGTAAAACAAAAGAGAATAAACAAATGGAAAGAAAAATCGCTCGCACAGTTCTCGAAAGGCAAAAGCATGCTTGCTTGAAGTGTTTTATTTGTCACTTCCAGTTCAAGTTGACTCTAAAATTGATACATAAAGCGAAAGAAAATAATAATTTTAGCACCAACAAGCCCAAATAATTACGACTAACACAGATATGCTAGCTTATGCCAACATAGTATGTGAAACGCCATACAATGGCTCATGGAAATTGGCATAGAAGTTACAGTAGCAGCTGCTACTGTAACACACACAGAGCAGCAACATATACAGAGTGAGAACAAACCTTAGGCATATTTCTCTCAGCTCCGTAGGAACAACGAATATCACTGGATCCTGGTAGGGGACCTTCTCTGCCTCTTCTTTTTAATTATATTGCATCTCTTCATTAGACCTCAGTGCTGCCTGGCATGTTACAGCAAAACGTGAGACAAAACTGAAGGTGGGCAAATTTTAATTCGGACTTGCCTGGCGCCGCGCCCCCCCCCCCCCCCACAACAAAAAAAAAACAAAAAAACACACACAAAAAAAAACAAAAAAAAACTAAAAAAAACAAAAAAAGCAAAAAAGGACGTTTCGCTTCTCTCACAGAAGCTTCGTCAGCGGTAGACAACCCGGAAGACTTGGTATTCTTTTTGTCCATCCTAAAGAACAAAAACATTTACTTTAGGCTAGTTTGATTCTACTTGAGAAGAGGGAATTCCATGTTATTTCTAACTTCATTCCAACTACTGGTAAATAAAAGTGGGTAAGGCTGAATGGAACACGATTATTTATAACCAGTTGGATCTTGCATCGGCCACAGCAGAGAGACGATTACTTGAGCTGTCTACACAGTAATCCAAGTTAAAGCATGTCTCGTGCATCATCTAAATTTCTTGAATTTTGCCTTTCATACTTCAGAAGGCTCGTCTGTTGCAAGAAGCTGTGACTCAGCGACTGTGGTTG